AAGTCCTGCTGCACGGCGGCGGGCTTCGCCCGCCGCCGTGCAGCCCAATACGTGGTTTTTAACGTGATTTTTTGGACTTTTTTGGACTTGCCAAAGTCACTAAATGTGCTCGAGTCAACTGCTGCACATAGCTGCCAACCAATAGCTCAAAAATCAACGTCAACTACAATAATCAAGCCACATAATTATCTGCAACGTCACGAGGGTGCTGGCAAAAGTCCTGCTGCACGGCGGCGGGCTTCGCCCGCCGCCTCGCAGCCCAATACGTGGTTTTTAACGTGATTTTTTGGACTTTTTTGGACTTGCCAAAGTCACTAAATCAACGTCAACTACAATAATCAAGCCACACAATTATCTGCAACGTCACGAGGGTGCTGGCAAAAGTCCTGCTGCACGGCGGCGGGCTTCGCCCGCCGCCGTGCAGCCCAATACGTGGTTTTTAACGTGATTTTTTGGACTTTTTTGGACTTGGGGCAAAATTCTGCACACTTTCGCGTGTTTCCATAATACGACAAGTTGCGCACGGTCTGCTCACATTCAAATACAGTGCTGCCAACAAATGACAGCATGCAACAAAAAAATCTTACCTTGCAAGGGCACATTTTCGGCCATTACTCTTGAACGGCCGGTTAGATCGGGACACAATTTTCAGAGAATTTGCAGCTATTCATGCTCTTTCAACTGACGTACATGTAGCACTCAATATGAATTTACAAATTCGATTTTTCAGCGAATTTTTGGGTAGTCTGCCACCTTAAGAACCAATTTTCACAATCTTGGGCATTCTGGAAAGCTCTCCACGAGCTGCGTACATTGAGCTCAAACAGGACACTACCAAGATCACATATCCAGCGCCAGGGAGCTTAAAATATACCCCATCGCTGGTATACGAGGAAATTCTCTACTCGCCAGCCATTTCTCACTCCTTTATCGTAAACATTCCAAATTTTTTGCTTGAGTTTCTTTTCATGCTGCCCACGCGCTCAAAGCATGCCAAAGTGACTCAGCATGTCAGGAGAGGGGAAAATCCCCGCTCAAGGTCAGTCACTCGGAAAGAAATTTGACTTTTACCATAGCTGAAATGTCGAGCGAAATATCTTTGGAATGCGACATCGCAGCTCTTTACCGGTTGATGCAATGGAAAGTTGAGCTCTTCGGCTTCTTCCTAGATACTTAGTTATTTAAATTCCGACGAGAATCGATCGAGTTACGAATGTTTTATTGTATGCATGTCCATCGATCTCTAGAGATCTATTCAAGTACGCACGGATGGTAAAGGGTTAAAGGGGAAGTTAAGGCAAAAATTAAAATTTCACCAGTTGTAGTCTTCGGGGTGCTGAGTCGAATGGTCTTGGTCCGAGGAAGCTGAGACGCTCCCTTCCTACTTGAATCCCAATCGAACTCGCGCACTTCCACCGAAACTGGGTGACTGCGCCCTACTAGATGGGGATTTGTATGCAAAATGTCACTAAAAGCGCCATTTCGTTCTTATAAAAGCACGGATGACCGCGATTGGCCCATATGTTGTAGTCTTTTGGACGCTGAGTCGACTGGTTTTGGTCCGAAAAGGCTGCGATGCAGCGTTCCTCCTTTATTCCCAATCGAACATGGTTGAAGAAGCGGTCACGTGATCCTGGGTGCCCAAATCACCTGGTCACCACGCCAGCAGGTGACAACTTTCACACCAAGGTTCAACTCGAGTTCAACTCGAGTGACAGGACTGCACCCAAAAAAGGTCAAACAGGCTAGTAAGTTGTACCCTGCAGGCACGGTGACCAGGTGACTGGTGTACGCAGGAGCACGTGACCGCTTCTTCAACCATGTTCGATTGGGAATAAAGGAGGAACGCCGCATCGCAGCCTTTTCGGACCAAAACCAGTCGACTCAGCGTCCAAAAGACTACAACATATGGGCCAATCGCGGTCATCCGTGCTTTTATAAGAACGAAATGGCGCTTTTAGTGACATTTTGCATACAAATCCCCATCTAGTAGGGCGCAGTCACCCAGTTTCGGTGGAAGTGCGCGAGTTCGATTGGGATTCAAGTAGGAAGGGAGCGTCTCAGCTTCCTCGGACCACGACTATTCGACTCAGCACCCCGAAGACTACAACTGGTGAAATTTTAATTTTTGCCTTAACTTCCCCTTTAACTACTTCCCCTAGATAAAAATGCAAATGCACGCCTTGATTGCACCTAGCACCTCTTGCTTGCTTTCGCCTTTTCTTTCGCTTCTTTGCTGATAGGTTACCTTTTTCCTTTGTCTAGTATCCTTGAGACTTCAGTCTTCTACTGCCGCTATGGCAGTGTCTATTGTCTAATGATGACTCCGAAGCTGAAGCTTGCAGTCCAGGCCTAGGACTAGTAAGAGTTCCTACCGGATCGTCGTGCTGTCCGTGTAGGTAAGTGCTGAAGTAACTAGTTTGTGCCGATATGGAAATTTCGGCCTTTTCGGCGGCCAATGCTGATGGCGACGCTGCGATGGTTCCGTGGGTTTGCAAGCACCGACGAGTGCCTTGTTTCATGCCCCGAGTCACGATTTCCCTGTTCGGTCAGGGCGGCCTTCACGAGTTCGGCAGGCTCTTTCAAGTGCCTGGCCAAGGCTCTGCGCTTAGCGCGTAGCAACATCAACAGGCGGCTTCCGTCACGTCATTTGGCAGGCCCTGACGAGTGCATTGCCAATCTCTGTACCTACAAGTAACTGGTATCCAACCCCATCGATGGCCGACGCGGACATGGCGGATATGCGGCGGCTTCTATCACGGCAGTGGGCAGGCCCTGTCGCGTGTCTTGCCACACTCAAACCATCCGTCCACTGTCGATGGACGACAGTCTCACCAGTGAGCAGGCCCTGTCGCGTGCCTTGCCACACTCTAGCCATCCATCCACTGTCGATGGACGATGGTCACACCACTGGGCAGGCCCTGTCGCGTGCCTTGCTACACTCTAACCATCCGTCCACTGTCGATGGACGATGGTCTCTACAGTGGGCAGGCCCTGTCGCGTGCCTTGCCGCACTCTAACCACTCTATCCATCCATCCACTACCCATGGACGATGGTCTCGTGGGTTTGCAAGCACCACTGAGCGAGTGCTTTGTTTCTTGCCCTGAGTCGTGCCTTCCTTGTGTGGTCAGGGCAATTTCATGAAAAGCAGGAGTGCCTTTCCAATGTCTGTGCCTAACTCGCATCCACCCATGTCTGTGGACTGTGCGGTCATTGTAGATATGGTGGCTTCCGTCACGCCAGTGGGCAGGCCCTGTCGGGGGCCTTGCCACCCTCTAACCATCAGTCCATTGGTGATGAACGATGGTCTCGTGGCTTTGCAAGCACCGGCGAGTGCTTTGTTTCATGCCCAGAGTCACGCCCATAACTTAATGCCGTTCTGCCATGCTCATTTTGTTGTTTCGCAAGTACAGTTCTACCTGTGTTTGCTTGCTCCTATGCCAAGCAGAATCCCGTATTGACCGGGAAATGTTTCTGCACCAAAGGGCTGTGGATCGAACGTGCATCCCTGTGTCAAGCGGAATAATGTCATAGACCAGTTTCCGCTGCACCACGGGCGTCCGGTTAAGGCAGGTTTACCTGTATGTAGATACATGGTTCTGGAAGCATGATCACGATGTCAGAGGTGGCCGATGCACCTCTGTGAACAATGCAAAATAAACATCAAATGGTTGCCATTTGTGCAGTGCCAACAATATACAGCTGTACTGCCATTCCTATTGCTCAAGCACCTTTTGTGATAGCAACCTCGAAGTGGTGAAGCATATAACACTTTTACTGTTGCCATACCTCAGTCTGACCTTCGGTGGCTGGAGCACGTACGGGCACGGGCGCTCCAGCTATCTGCTGAGCGTAGTGCCAAGAGTGCAATGTCATGTACACTTGCCTTCGTGTACGCTATGACTTGTGGTATACTGCCTTCCACTACTCAAGTTAGTGCCCACCTCGGGCACCGCGAGGGACCACCCCCTTCTTGGTCTGGCCAGCCAAGGCCTTGCACGATTACTGCCGCATCCATAATTGGGATCAATTCATTGCCCATATGATATGTGCATATCAGCGCGGCCCTTTCCGTACAACGGCAGGTCCAAGTAACCATATCTGTAATTTACTACTGTGGATAGCATTTCATCGTACGAATCCTGGAATATCTACGCAACCATAGCTAGCAACCAGATCAGTCTCGTACTGTTTAGTACTGATATGGCGGATCCGCCGGTACTGCATGCACGTGTGCCTTGTGCCCGACCTACCATGTACCAGGCTTTCGTTACCAACAAGGGCTTGGCAGACGAGCTGAAGCAGCTGGATGCATGTCGTGTCGCCATAGTGTCGCAGTATTATTATCTGTGTCCTGTGCTAGTCGTTTTTAATTGACTGTCACCCTTTTCTCCCTTCTTGTCTCCGACTTGAAGGGCACCTGTACATATGGTGTATCCTCGATACATAGAGGCATTTTTACTGTATATCAGGCACTCTGCGAGATGCCTGTTCCTTCACTCCACATGCACGCTTCTCCTTCGCGCATAATGCTTGGCTACGCCCTTGCCTTGGTTGAGGTGGTGGATCACTTTAAAAGTCACACTGTCACATTCGAAGCCGAAGCTCCGAAGTGTAATCGTAGATTCCGCTAGGACCCGCAGGGTCCGACGTGGAATCGGGGTTACACGAGGAGTGAAGGCGAGGAATGTGACAGTGTGTTCCCGCCCATTGTGCTGGTGTCACCCACCCCTCACTGTCAATACTGGTACTTTTTTTGGTCGCTCAGAAAAGGCCAAAGAAAGCAAGAGGTGCTAGGTGCAATCAAGGCGTGTATTTGCATTTTTTATCTTTAAACCGCTGGAAATTTATGGAAAACTAGAGCGATTTGAGGCCAAACACACTGTCACATTCTTCGCCTTCACTCCTCGTGTAACCATGGTAACCCCGATTCCACGTCGGACCCTGCGGGTCCTAGCGGAATCTACGATTCATTTGTCAGTCCACAATGTCCCGATTACTGATTAGGGTGTTTTTTCCTGGTGTTTGCATTCAGCCTTTCACAAGTAATAGTTTCAGGAGGACCACGCATACGAGAGTAGTTCAAGTGGCTGTGTCACCCAGCCATGATCAGAGCTGCGGAATTGCCCCGACACTGAAGCAAGCTGCGTGGTCGGGGTTTTGGGAAGAGGGCACGGTAGAGACGATCGCGAAGTCGACTTTCAAGCCAAGCCAAGCGGGGGACAACGCACAGGAAAAAAAACAGCAACTGTGTCAGGCAACCATTTAGCGGTGAGCAACTAACTAACTATGTTACTTCGAAGCTGTGTTGCCTAGAGCGAAAAATACATGACCGTTGAATGAAATCGTTGAAGCCTACCAAATCAGTGCGTGCCACTCCTCGCATGTTTCGGTATAGACTAATGACTGCGGTAAATATCCCGTTCAACTCAGCGGTGGGTCCAGCGATCACTTCAGGGGGTTCCAGTATAGCCAAAACTGAATAGCTGATACATGTACATGGTCACGCACATGGTTGCCAGTAGTACATTTACGAAATTTAGGGGGTTCCGTGGAACCCCTGGAACCCCTCCTGGATCCGCCACTGCAACTACATCAGTACATGTAGCTGGGAGGAGAGAATGAATGAGATACTGACCACTGAGCTCAGACATACCGGTACTCGCCGGGCAAAGATGCTAAATATAAGACTTCGCACTTTCATAATTACATGACTAGTTACGAGTAGGAGATGGGAACGAGGATGCGTAAGAGCTCTGCAGAAAGCCTCCTGTATGCTATTGGATGCTTCCGTATTCGTAGCCTGCTCCAGGTGGGAACATTTGTATTGTGTTCTTTCCGGCGCCATGCGCCATGTTTCTAGAGCGTGTATCATCCTGTGTCCAGCAAGGCATATTCTATCCTGTGTCCAGCAAGACATATTCTATCCTGTGTCCAGCAAGGCATATTCTATCCCGTGTCCAGCAAGGCATATTCAGTACCGTACAGCTGCTTGCTGTGCCAGCTAGCTATGCAGTGCGAGAACCCATGCAATTTTGTATGGCCACTCTCAGTGCATATTTTCATTCCTCATCAACCAACACACCATAACTGCACTCTCCAGCCAACCTCGACACGACGTTGCCATGGCGCACCGTCAGCAAAGCCGGCGACACATCCGTTGGTGCTGAATTCCTTCATGCAGCTGTTTCGAGTGTAAAACTCCCGACAGAGAAACGTAGATTTTGTAGAATGGCCAAAAATAAGTCTGAAAATGAAAATCTGTACAGTGCTGAATGCTGCTGCTTGCCCTTTGTCTCAGCGCATACGAAAGCTTTCCAGCAAGGGGTATATAGGGGCATAGGGGTATATAGGGGTATAGGGGTATATAGGGGTATAGGAGTATATAGGAGTATAGGGGTATAGGGGTATATAGGGAGGGGTATAGGGATGTATGTATATATTATAACAAGGAACCGAGTGTATATAGAGATTTATACCTCACTCCATATACACTTACAGTCTTAGGCATGCTCTCCCTTAGTGGTGTATATATCTCCATATACACCGCTAAGGGGAATTAGCAGTAGTTGTCAGCGAGGAACAAGCCATTAGGAGGTCACACACGGTGAATATGGAGAGGTATAAATATATTATAACAAAGGAACCTCGTGTATATCGAGATATATACACCAGTTATAAAAACCTCGGCTTCGCCTCGGTTTTCATACTGGTGTATATATCTCTATATACACTCGGTTCCTTGTTATAATATATACATATACACCAGTATGAAAACCGAGGCGAAGCCGAGTTTTTTATAACTGGTGTATACATCTCGATATACACGAGGTCCCTTTGTTATAATATATTTATACCTCTCCATATTCACCGTGTGTGACCTCCTAATGGCTTGTTCCTCGCCGACAACTACTGCTAATTTCCCTTAGCAGTGTATATGGAGATATATACACCACTAAGAGAGAGCATGCCTAAGACTGTAAGTGTATATGGAGTGAGGTATAAAGGGGTATATATGGGGGGGGGGGTATAGGGGTATGCAGGTATACGGGCAGATAGGGGTATGCGGGTATACGGGTATATTTCCTGACAGTATCACCATCAGCGGATGTTGCTTGTCAGGCCAACTTACCGGTACTTTCCTCGCTATCATTTCTAATGATTCGTTTCTGTGGTCCTGTTGCTGATAGGCATGTGCAAGATGAGATCTACCCGGAGCTGAACATTACCAAATACAACAGTGTTCCCTGAAAGCTGGCGTAAGAACCGTCGTACTAGCAGCTAGTATGGATAATGAATCCAAAACATCTCAGAATCCACCAGTTAGTCCAACAGTAGGCGCAACCTGGCAAGCAGAGTCGCCGCTAGTGCAATCAATTGAGGTGTGCTTCATAGATTCAGGAGATGTGCGGCCGATGCAACCGAAGGACACTATGATCCTGGAAGACACAGTGGGGACAGGTATGTGTGCAGCCTGCATGTCTACATGCATATGTAGGCATGCATATGTAGACATGCACATGTAGGCATGCACATGACTGTAGGCATGCACATGTAGGCATGCACATGTAGGCACATTGCTTCTCTCTACAACTAGTTTCTGTAATTAGAGTTAAGCTACCTAGCTCAGTTCAGCCATACGGTGCAATTGGATCTAGCAAGTTTCAAAAGCAACCCGTGTGACAAATGGACATGTGATTCTTAGAACTATGTTTATCATAAATTTAACTCACACTATTCAAGTGATACGCATGCCCCACAGTTTCCACCCACACAAATTTCACGCTCATTCGTGTGTTTATTCATCACTACACTGATGATGTTGCTCAGAAAAACCTGATCAAGTGAGTCAAGTACGTGCCTGGCGCTGCACAGCCCCATCACAGCCGTAGCTAGACCTGTGAACACTGTCCATCACAGCCGTAGCTAGACCTGTGAACACTGCCCCAAGTTCACAGCCATAGCTAGACCTGTGAACACTGCACAGCCATAGCTGGACCTGTGAACACTGCACAGCCATAGCTAGACCTGTGAACACTGCACAGCCATAGCTAGACCTGTGAACACTGCACAGCCATAGCTAGACCTGTGAACACTGCACAGCTATAGCTAGACCTGTGAACACTGCACAGCTATAGCTAGACCTGTGAACACTGCACAGCTATAGCTAGACCTGTGAACACTGCACAGCTATAGCCAGACCTGTGAACACTGCACAGCTATAGCTAGACCTGTGAACACTGCACAGCTATAGCTAGACCTGTGAACACTGCACAGCTATAGCTAGACCTGTGAACACTGCACAGCTATAGCTAGACCTGTGAACACTGCACAGCCATAGCTAGACCTGTGAACACTGCACAGCTATAGCTAGACCTGTGAACCCTGTCCATCACAGCCATAGCTAGACCTGTGAACACTGCAGAGCTATAGCTAGACCTGTGAACACTGCACAGCCATAGCTAGACCTGTGAACACTGCACAGCTATAGCTAGACCTGTGAACCCTGTCCATCACAGCCATAGCTAGACCTGTGAACACTGCACAGCTATAGCTAGACCTGTGAACACTGGGCTGCGGAATGGTTTCCGTACGCAAACTTGCCAACTCACGTGATCTGGTTTCATTGAGCAGCAGTGTACCTTTCATATTCTTTAGTACAATCTATACTCTCAATAAGTCGTGTGCCCGATCCTGGGGACGAAAGTACATGACTTATGGCGAGTGCGTGACTCGCAGTATAGTGAAAACATACACGCAAGTACATGTGCACACTGTCCGGTTCTCAAAAGTGCACGACTTATCGCAAGTGGTTGACTTATTGCGAGTAGACTGTATAGTGGGACACAGTGATGGCGTGTTGTGAGCTGCACTGTTGGCACCTGCTGATTTCACGATTATGTTACTCTAGGCGTAAACTTCCTACTTCTCGTCTTGACTGCGTGTAGACATTGAATGCTTTGGTTACTTCTCAGTATGTCACTAACCTCCACTGATGGGTATCACACAGAAACGTTCTGGAAACTTTCGTATTTCCATCCTACATTGTTTCATCTACACAATTGCCGGATCCTATTCAATGCTATATTGGACAAGTGTGTTGGTACATGCATACCTAGAAGTACGAGTTCCCCTGGTAGACTCCCAGCACCTCGCTTTCATCTTGGCGGACTTACCCGTCTGACTCAATGCCGCTGACCTCTATCACTGTCATTGCCTTCTGCATAACCTACACAGGCGTCGTGCGTGGAGAGTTGCAGTACATGGGCGACGAGGGAATTGGTATCAAGCCCCTGAGTAATGGCTGCTTGGTCAATGGATCACTGCTACCCATAGCCGAAGGCGATGCAGACAAGACGTACCCGGTTGCGCCAGGTAGGCTGAGGGTTGTTATACACATGGGGGGGGGGTTTGCACAATGACATAGGTCATGCTCTTCTTTGCGGCACAACTTGTTTTAAGCATGCTGCATGTTTCCACTCAGAGGCAGCCAGTATATTTGGAGCTGAGACTGTATGGTATTGATGCAGTACATGAAGTCAGGTTGCTGACCAGTGTAATTGTAGGAGTGAACACTCGCACGAGAATAGTTGTGCGGCAAACGGCATGGGAGGTGTGTGTGTTTGTGTGTGTGTGTGTGTGTGTGTGTCTGTGTGTGGGCGCGTGTGCATGAGCTGAGCCGAGCTGGATTGCTGAGCTGCAGGGCACCAGGGGATCTGCGTGATTCAGGGCCCGTGCATGCACGCACCCATGGTCGGATTTCACTGACCAGATCTGTACAAAGGTGCATGACCTTTTGAAGTAATGTTGTATAGTATTGATGTGGTGGTGGTGACAAGCTCTCCTCAGTTGCTCCGTACTGATCATGTGTGTGCATGCAGGCGCAGTAATAGTTGTGGGTGCCAAGCGCTTCCAAGTTCGCTTCAAGAGAAGGTACTGGCTGTTAGTATGTGCTTAGTAGCCTGGGAGTTATTATACAAGTTATAGGCTAGGAGTTCATACTTGTATGGGCTGGGAGTTCCTGACTACATCACACACTACAGTGCACTCTATAATTACCTGTGCTTGCCGGATTACAAGCATCCCCATTAGTAGTAGACTGATACTCTCAATTATCAAGGATACATTTCATTTGGACAGAATGGAGCCAGAACTGTACTGTACATATACACATGCATGCATGTTAGCATGAAAGTCAGAGTTACTGAGAATGGTCTTTGGTCACTGCTGTCTTGCCCTGTGCGGTAAACACCCTCCCCTCTCCCCTACGGTAGAGAGAGATTGCTATCAAAACAACACGAACCACACTAGGACATACTAGTAGAGTGCATATAGTCAGAATGATGTTGTGTTTCTCTATGTGCACAAGTGGTGATACATGTATGCATTCCCATACTGTTCACATGATCCACTTGAATATACAACATTGTCACAGAGTACACTACTGCAAACCAAGCCATCTTTCCCAACGGGTTGTCTGGCGCAGATATTGCGGTATGACTTTCAATATGATAGCAACTAAGGGCATACATACATGTACGCGGTGGAGAGAATTGTTCAGGTCCTCTCCCGGATGTCCTCAATGGAGTACATGTATTTCTATCTGAAGCTGGCATTGAAGAAGTTGAGTTTGCCCAAATAGCCTAGATGCTGTCACTAACACCGCAACTTTTCCAACTTTGTTTTGTTTTCATGCACAGTAAAGCTGGTCAGCGACGACTACCAGCAACACCTGGACTGCAGACCAAGTCTACGCTGCCTCGCAAGCGGACACGGCGACATCAGAAGGCCGTCAACATGGTACAGCAGCCGGACCAAGCTCAACCCACACAGGACCCAGCGCAGCCGCCAACGGAACAAGCCGTTTCTCGCAAAGAGACAAAACGGCCACAATCACGGGACAGTGTTGATAGTGCCCGCGCGCAAGAACCTGCTCTAAATGCTGCATCTTCTTCAAGCCCTAGCAAACCGAGCACACCAGCATCAATATTCAGCAAGGACAGTGTTGCAAGTACAACTCAATCATCAGCCGGAAGCAAGAGAAAAGGTAAGTTGAGTGCAACTTATTGGGTGTGGTGTTCACCGGCTCATCTGTTGCTATTGGTTGATTTTGCAATGTTCTTCTCCCGACTTCTGTAACTAGATCATGGCAGTTGGGAAGCAATGTGAACTGTTTTATTCATCAATTGTGTCTTTTGATTTGACCCCCTGTCTGCACACAAGCATGCTGGTGTGCTAGGGATCCAGATAATCCAACAACCCTAACTAAAATAGTCTGAGTTTCTTTCGATCATGAAGTGGAGAGATGTGATGACAGAAGCAGCCATTTTTTGCACAGGCATACATCATCAGCTTTAGTATACATGTATACTTGCCGTCCACTCTATTTGAAAATTCCAATGATGTGAAAATGAAAAGAATATTTAAAAAAGGACGCTGCACGAGGTATAACACGGACAGCATCCAGAGAACTATTTAGAAGGTGCTGCTGTGTACATTTTTTTTCCCCAGACAGCAATGCATCACTTGGAGCCTGGATCACCGACATGTTCTCCGTCATGATCTGGGATCCAACAGCGGAGGCCGAGGATGAGAAAAGCGAGGAGTCCAATTTAACCGAGGTACGTGTATTTCATTTCCGTCTCCACATCAAGTGTGTACCCCAAAGGAATCCAACCAGGATACATCTGCATTTAAAACTGTGTAGCTTTACTACGTGAATCAAACTTATTAAAAACTCAACATGGTCAATGCACGGTTTGGGGTTAACTCCATGTGTAGGAAATCCCGTCTATTCCGACCTGTCGTAAACAATGAGTATCATCGCTCATCATCATCTTTGTGTTGCAACTATCTGTGTAGTGACTGAGACTTCAACCGAACGACCAGTACTTCCAAGGCAACTCTGGGCCTTGATAAGAAATTCGAAAAGAGTTAACCAGGATCCACCCCCCCCCAGGCCCTTGACCCCACCCCTGGTAATGCACAGTTGGGTTGTGTGTATGTGCAACAGGCTGCAGATCAAGTGGCGGAAATTCTGACTCACCAGCTGATCGTCTCGAATCCTGCAACTGCATCAGGACTTATCGATAGAGTCTTCCGAGCACTGGAGGTAAGTGTAGAGAGAGCTCAGTATTCGGATAAGCACATCCAGGTGTAGACCAACTAGCTTCTGAAGGTTCTTTTCATTCAGACAATATGCAGCAAGAATATAGCTTGACCTGTACGATTGCATGAGGTTCTTTAAAGTGATTTCCTTCAACCAATGTGGGATATGTATGATATGGTCGCAAGAGGAGGCCAGATTCAAGCCTCCCGACTATCATTCACTTCAAACTAGGAGGCTTTCACATAAGGCTACTACAAGTAGGTTTGAGATGTGTGTGGTCATTTTGTGAACTGCTTTGGCTGCTTGACATTGGCGACTTCACATTGAACAGTTCACTTTGAATTCAGAGTTAAGCGCTGCTCATTTGGGTTTGTGATTTCATGCCTATCCTGCCAGCTTACCCACTGCAACCCTTGCCGTTTTGCCCTGTGGTGCAGGATGCAGTGGTTTCTCATGAAACAGCAGTGATGGCATTTCTCCAGGGTTGGAAGGCGGGCGAAGACTCCGCTGAGAACATGAACGCATTGCTGGCGCTAATAGAAAGTTTGATGAGTGTAAGTCAACAATCAGCAAGACATTATGAAATATCCGTGGATAGGTCAGGGCTCAATCTCATGGTATCATTGTCCTTTTACACTCAGTTTGATAACTGTAAGGGCAGTCACAGCTGTGAAATGACTCGCAACCCTGCACTCTTCACAACTGGAAATTCGAGTCGTGCACTGAGCAGACACAAACCTTGATGCAGATCTATATTTCACTCAGGTTAGGCGAGGGAATCAATGTGTACTGTGTATACCATCAGTGCAAGCTCGGCTGAATACGTGCCTCAGTACAGCTCCATTGCTTAAGATAGTGTTTCGAGCAAAACAAATTCACAGTGTAGTGTATGTTATTCGACCTTTTCTCCCCATAGTGAATGGTTAGCTACCCATACACATAGTGTTGTGTTCGCCGTGTCCTGCCACTAGACTACACCGCAACCCTTATCTCCATGCAACTGCCAGAAAAAGAATGTGGTGCGTGAAGATCCGCAAGTCCACATGAATAACGGTGAATCCGAGACCCTTGGCCGGAGGAGTTTCTTTCGCTCCACCACCACTTCCATCCCATATGCCACCGCCCCCACTGTGCAGCACCTAATGGCTCTGTGACATTAATAAGTAAAAAATTGGAGGCCTGCAGTTGCAATCTTCTTATTGTCCTTTCTTTAAGCATTGGTTTGTGTGTGTTCACCGGTATCATACAGACTAGCATGGAAGACGTCGACACCTGGCTCGGAGCTCTCTTGCTGTTGCAGTCACGCTTCCTTGAAGTACCCGGTGTTGCAGTTCCCAAGAGCCTCGTCGGAATGACGGTTGGTTTCTTGGTGACTGCTGAGAGTGCCTCGATTCTCAAGTTGGCCTGCAAGCTTATCCATGAGTGGAGTCTCCAGGACGTGGTAAGTTTAATCCGCAAAAGAATTTCACTCTTCTCCATTTTTTCATGGGACGGGGTGGGGAAGGGGGGGGGGTCCGGGGGGATATTTAAACTCTCAAAGTGCCAGAAATATGTGCCTATTCTTCTCTTGGCAGACTTGTTAATTTGAATCACGGCCATATGGAGATTCTTCAGACCAACACTGGGCCAGACTGCAGATTGTGGTTGGAATCGCTTCCTTGTGGGTTCGGGATGTTTTATTTGGGCTCTCCGATAATAATATACTAGCATGATAAAAGTGACCGTACATGCATTCAAGAAAGAGTGCTACCGTAGTTCCGCGCATATAAGCCCATGGGCTAATATACGAAATAATGCATTTTCCGGGAAAAAAATCAGTAATAATGGTTCGTTTTTTAACCCTGGGCCTATATTCGAATTTTGAAGGCAGATGGCACCCGGAAAAGTACAAGTCCGTGCGCGGTTGTCCGCCCACCGTATACTGCACTGCTGAAAATTCAGCACTTGTTTTGTCTTTTTCAATTTCCTTTCTTTTTTAACCCTCCACTTTCTTGTTTTCTGGCTCATCAACAAGAACAGCTCTGTACCGGTATTGTGAAAAATACACTTGACAAACGGGTCCGTAACGGTGTTTGGGTCTGTTTATTAGCCCATGGGCCTATAAACGGAGGTGGGCTTATATCCGGATATAGGCCCGTGGGCTTATATGCGCGGAACTACGGTATGCATTTCAGTGTGTGGGTATATGCATCATAGGTGGTCAAGGACCATGAAGGAGAAACAGATGGTACCAGGTGAAGTGGGTGGATTTTCCAACGGTGCTCTGTGAACTGTGAAATATAAAAAATGCATTTGTTTGATTGAGTCAGACATACTGTTCATCTGGGATTGTGGTCACCAAAGTTCCATCAGCTGTTATACCGGTGATGATCACAGTGATTTGTCATGGTGCATTTCTAAATGTTGTCCGTTTGCCGGAATGCCTGTAGCATATACCAAATGGAACTGGAGACATCCTGTGTGTTGTGCTGAGGACCAATGATTCTAATCCTGACGTGGCAACCATCGTGTGTGAACTGCTAGTGTCGTTGGTCTCGCTGCATCCTGAGCTGGAGGCGTCGCGTGAGAGCATGCAGCGGCAAACAGCGCCAATCCTGATGGCGCTGATGAAGGCATACCCGCAGCACGGCGAGCTGCACAAGTGGGCCAAGCTATGGCTGACAAAGTAGGTTATACTTCTGGTGGTGCGTTCAATTCGACTGCTGATCTCTTTTCTGATGTTCTGCAAGTATCGGAGAGAAGTGCAGAATGTGTTTTTGACTGTAAAGCAATGAATGCTAATGTCATATGAGATGACTAAGATAATGCTGGAAAGTTCAGTGAGATAAGAAGTTGAGTGGATAGAGTATGGTTTATCCCGTTTGTGTCATGCAAATAGGAAGCAAGAAAAGAAGAAGAAAGCCAAGGTGCCGGAATCGGCATCAGCTGGAAACCTCACGGCCATGCAGGGCAGTGGGACTGGTACACCTGCGGAACAACCCTCCGGTGCGATATCACCATCAGCGTCAATGCCCAATATGGCCGAGCATCCCGTGACAGGGAGAGGACGAGCAGCGCAGCTGAATGCGCAGCCATCGAAACCTCGCCGCAGCTTACCAACCGTGCCCAGTAAGAAACCAGCGAGCGAAGACAGCACTGCTGCGAAGGAAGTAGCCATTCCTTTCCAAGCGCAAGCTGCGGAGACTAACTCACCCAGGATGACATCAGACAAAGCAGAGCACCTTGATGAGCAAGCAACACAGAAAAGCAGCTCAGACAAGCGAGCGATGCCTGAACCCATCAGGACCGACACGGCACCTCAGACTCTTCCAAAGCATCTGAAGGAATCTGGGCCAAGCAGCACCCAAGAACCGGTTCCTCAAATCGCCACCACCATGCCGGGGCCTGGGACTGCACACGTGCATGAGACCAAGTGTGCTGAGCAGCCACAGGATTCACAGCACCAGCATCAAGATGTGGGGACACTTGAGGACGAAGCGGCTCAAGCTACATCCACGAACTCGCCCACTTGTACTTCTAAGCGGGGGAGCGAGGATTCTGTGCCAAACGAGAACGATACACAGCTCAATACTGGGTCCACAGCGGTAGAGTCGACTTCAATTGCGGCAGATGGGCAAGTCACTGTGGAGAACACCACGGCTGAAGCAGGTGACGAAAGTCTCATACCTGAATCTGCAGAGGTAGAACCAACTTCAACAGTGGCGGGTGATGAAGAAGCAGTGGAGAACACCTCAGCTAAACCGGAGCACAAGCCAAAAGCCGGTGGAAGTCATGAACTGGAGCTAGAACGTCCACCGAAGTACACTGTGCTCGTTGAGGACGAACCACTGCAAGCACATGTAGAAGAAACGGAAAAGAAAGCAGAAGAAAAAGAAGAAACAGCAGATCCAGAGCCCTCGGCAGCTCAAAACCAACCAACGCCAACCAATGAAGGTATGTTGACGCCTGGCTCACGCCGTCGAAACCAATGGGCAAGTGTCAGCCCCTCACCAGCCGGTACACCGCTGTCACCGCGGTCACCTCTTGCTCCTCTGTCGTTCAAAACACACCAGCTTGAAGAGGTAGGACGTCCTATATTGTAGTGTGACTGTATTCAACATTACATATGTGCTTTGATATAATTTTCACCATTTAGGGGTCATCGCAGTTTTTGTGTCGTCCCTGAAACGAACATCATTCGGTTGGGGGGAGGGGGAGGGGGGGGGGGGGGTGAGCCAAAATCGCAAGTCGGCCGACACTGTACACATGACATGTACATGCATGCGATTTTCGTCGTCCAGCATAGCAAGCTGTGTTCGTTTCAGAGGGAGAGGAGGGGGTCCGAGTACGAAATGAACGATATTCGTTTCAGGGACAACAATAAACCTTTGCAAAGACTCCTAAGCGACTGTACTCAACATTACTTATTTGCTTCGAATTATCACCACTAGAATTGGGGTACTTGACAAAAAGACCCTGTGATGCGTTCAGAAGAAACTCAATGTACCACCCTTCCCCATGCAAGGAATAATTCGTCTTGATAACTTGAGAATGAAGTTGAACATACCGCTGCAGCTGTACTTATGGTTGATTAATATGGTGGTAACCACACACCTGGCAATATGGCTGTAAATGCACGCCTGCCCGCACACGCTCTCTAGGCTGCAAAGTTATTCTGGCACAGAACTCTCCTTCTCACCACTACCACCATCAGTTCGCGCCTAGCGCCTAGTCGGTGCATGGCTAGTGGTGTCCGACATAGCAGGCTGGTACATCAGGTGGCGCATGGCCCATAGAAGATGACACAGCAACAACATAGCTCGATTGCGACGTACGTCAATAACTTGATACAATATATCAGAAAAAATAGACAGAAACCGTTGATGAGCCATTGCAGACCATTGACCGTGTGTGTTTCAAGCTGCATGCCAGTGTTTCCCTTTTGTTTACTGTGCTGTGTTTTATCTTCAGGAGGAGGCTGGCTTACAAGAAGTTGAAGCTGAGCATGAGGACGTGGCTAACTGCCTTTCTCGTCGCACAATGGTGAGCAGAACGGTTGAAAAACTGTTATGTACCAACCATTGGTCAAACATCATCAAGTCATTATTGTTATTGGAAAAAGCCTTGGAAGAAGACCTGACTAAAATAAGAACAAGAAGCTCTTGTGCGCATATGCAATACATAGATAGTGAAGTAGTGCAGAGTAGTAACATTCGTACTACAGCGAGAGACACCACAAAAACGTACTCTCCCCTGATGTGGAGATAGAAAACTAACACATTGTAGTTTTGACGCGTGGTAGCCTTTTTTCTCCTCGGCTTTATTTTCTAAGAAATAAGTTGCAAAGTACCAATTTGCATGTAATGGAGCCGTTGTTCATCATCCTCTGTGTTCTGTTCTTAGGGTGTGCGACTCGCCAAGCAGAGGTGGGACACTGGTGAAATGATGATGGCCGTGCGCACTGCCTTTCAGCTTCACGCTGACGCAGATGTGGCCGGCTACCTGGACGTCTTGAGCATGCTGCTCAAACAAATGTAGGTCAAGGCTGTGTTCCAACTGTTCTTGTACCGTATTTTCCAGAGTAAAAGCCGCACTTTAAACGCTTTAATCTGGATGCAGCTCATACTCCAGCGCGGCGTATACTCCGGAAAATACCGTATGTCAAACAAGCCTTTCAGTTCTGGTCCGGTCACCCATTTCCGCTGCTGTACATTTCAGCGCCCTCATGCCAGCGCCACCTTTACCTGTCGAATCTCACCTCAGCGCAATCTCACCTCAGCGCAATCTCACCTCAGCGCAATCTCACCTCAGCGCAATCTCACCTCAGCGCAAGGACAAACAATCCTGTCGAGGGATGGCACAATCGATTCGCGGCAGTTGTCGGCAAGGTTCATCCAAATTTGTGGCGTCTCATAGAGGCGCTGCAAAAGGAGCAGGCCACGACGCAAACGTTGCTCCAACAAATAGCAGCAGGCCAGCAAACCCATCGAGTCCTTCGCAAATATAAGGAACTGAACGCCCGCATTGAAACCTTACAACGCCGGCTCAATGAAGGCGACGTTACGCCAAGGGAATTCCTTTCTGGTGTTGGACATAATTTAATGCATTGAAATGTGAACATCTGTATTCATTTTGAATTGCGTCGAAATGAGTTTCGTTACTTTGTGTGCTTTACATAGGGATCATGCTAAAATGCGTCGAAATGAGTTTCGTTACTTTGTGTGCTTTACATAGGGATCATGCTAAAAATGAGCCTGCGCTCAAATGAGATTGTACTATGTGAGTGTGGTGGAGGTTGGGGTTCGCGATCGTGAGCGCGTTGGAATGAGCCACGCGGTTAAGAGTTTCACTGAAGTGGGGGCATACCGTTCTTTTAGCCGAAACCGAGACAGTGAGCCTGTGTGTGAAACGCAACTTGTAAGTTCACATCCTTCATGGGTACAGGTTGTCAACTCTACCGATCTGGACGCGTATGTTTAATTAATGGGAGCTTTGTCTGACCCGCTGCCCAATGATGGAGACTGACTGATCACCAGCATCACTTGAAGAAAATACTGCAATGACAGAGGTCAGAGATAGATACCCATTCTGCACCATACCTGTGCTATTGTGAGCAGGACCAGAAATGGAACAGCAGAAAATACTGCAAGATATGATTTTGAGAACTACTGGGTTCCAATGTATGTAGGTGGTCTGAAATTGTGGCAATTCTCAGTTCTGGGTACCCTTTGGTTCCAACCTTCCCGAACCAGGGGAGTTTCCCGGACCAGGGGAGTTTGTTTGTGTGTACTTTTCCGCAATGTCGAGAGCCATTGGCTACTGGTGTTTAGTTTTGGTTTTTCACAACAACAAAAAAAGATCAATGAACATAGCAGAGCTTGATCAGTTTATATCTGCTCTTCTTGATGGGTTTCACAGATATCGCTGGCCCCACGAGGTGATAGTCGAAGCCATGACCTCACTGGGAGCATTGAATCTGACAACACTGAGCCCCAAGTGAGTTTCCGCTGTAGCATTATCTGAAACAATGTTCACTCTTGTGCACGCTGACATGCTTTGTATGGTGTAAACAGTGCAAGAGTTTGTCTCTGCTAACACTCCTTGCATAACCGCAACCTACTTGGTCTCCTTTACTTTTTTGATGATCGCTTAGTGCGTGAAACTCATAGTCAAACACTCTCTCTGTCCTCGTATTGTTTGGTCTCCTTTACCCGTATTCGAGAATGTGTGCATTGGAGTGATTCATTCTGGGACTGTTGGGCAGAGAATGGCGACTCTGTTTTCACACAGACAAAGACTGTTCTGAACAGCAAGTGTTGCAGAGTGACGCTCTGGCTGCGCACACGCATATAGCGTGACATCATGATCAGAGAATGAACGATCATCAGACTATGTATGAGTGGTAGATGTTCCATGTTCGTTAACAAGGCCTAGCACTGCTATAACAAGTTACCACCACAAAAAAAAAAAAACGTCTTCACCAAGGTTATGGTGCGTGTAGATATAACTGGACATTACGCCATCCTGTCTGGTTTCCGATGTTTCTGCAGACATGTTGAATTGGCATGTAGCTTGATGACAGTGCTGTCCGAGAGGCTACTTGTTCCAGCTGATAAAGATGGTGAGGCAGAGAGAACATTGCCTTGGCAAAATGTGTTTGCGCGTGTGTGTGTGAGTGTGTGTATGTGTGTGTGTGTGTGTGCGTGTGCGTGTGTGTATGCGTGTGCGTGCGTGTGTGCGTGTGTGTGCGTGTGCGTGTGTGTGTGTGTGTGTGTGTGTGTGTGTGTGTGTGTGTGTGCATGCGTGTGTTCACGAGAGTGTGTGCATGGTTGTGTGCATGTATGGGTTTCTGCATGTCTATGCATGTATGGGTTTCTGCATGTGTGTGCATGCATGGGTTTCTGCATGTATGTGCATGCATGGGTTTCTGCATGTGTGTGCATGCATGGGTTTCTGCATGTATATGCATGTATGGGTTTCTGCATGTGTGTGCATGGTGCTTAGGACAATTGTTCTGTACATGATGCTTGTTGTACCCGTGGCAGTCCAATAATGTTATGCTTTCCTTTGCACTCTTTCTACTTATCTCAGCTACTGACTCTGCAGAGGACGAGTTCCTGTCCTGTCTATCGTCCGCATTGGGCACCACCGAGGATTTCTTCTCCCGGCACACTGACACGCCTGATGAGCAGTCGGAGTGGAGGAAAGCATGGTTGTCAGTACACGCACTCAATCAGCGACTCAACCTCGGCACGCTGTAACTACTTTGAAGTATCAGATGGCATACTCTCCTCGGGCATAGAGATCAGCAATGTTGTGAACAGCGACCTTGACAAGCTCTTGCTGTCATTCAACGTAGATGGACTGCAGAGTGATAAGGAGTGAGAATAAATGACAAGGTTTTGTTTGCAATAAATAGAAAAGGTTTTGTTTGCAATTAGAAAAGGTTTTGTTTGCAATTAGAAAAGGTTTTGTTTGCAATTAGAAAAAGGTTTTGTTTGCAATTAGAAAAGGGTTTGTTCACCAGTTTAACGGTGTGAACCAAAACTCTGATGACAAAAAGTTCAGGCACATGAGTAGTTGCAGAATTGTTCAAACAAGACAGAACTGTCAGTAGGTGATGTTGCTGCCCGCAGCTTGCACATGTAGTGTACTTGTAGATCATGAAACAAACCTAGGTATTTGTACTCCATGAATAAATATGTGTCTATTGTTGATGGAAATCCTTTCTATTCCTTTGAATTGCACCCCACCCTGGAGTAGTGATTGTGGTGCAGACTGATTTTGAATTGCTTTGAATTATCTATTTTTAACATGACATCATAATATATCCAGGAGGACATCGATACTGCCTGGTGCAACGCAACCTCGTTTAGACAGGCGCTCACTTTTCCCGAATTGACTCCCGGCCAGCAAAATTATTTTTGATTAATCCAAGCTAGCTCTTTTTTTATGTACATGGAACCATACATTAAAGTTGTGAAGTATGATGCAATTATGAATTGAAGATGCAATAGTAGAGATCCTGTACATTTTTACTTCATTGTCTTTTCTATGAGTAGATTATTTTGGTATCTGGCCGTTTTCCATGGTTGCAGTATTGGTACTATTAAGTAGTCTATTTCTTCATGCCATATACATAAAGGGATGCTTGGTGTGAAGTTGCTAGCTTTGTAGGACTGATGCCAAATAATATGAGTAGCAGGCTGCTCTTTTTTTTCTTCTCAGAGTCGCATTCACTTTTCTTTGTTATTAGCAATTTGAGCAGAAAATGGCAACCTGCGACTTCGGGTTTTCGGGTACTGTTCTGTACCCGTCTACCCGAGGTCCTCACGGGTAGCACGGGTACCTACCCGACTACCCGTGCACACCACTAATTTTTTCCATGGTAATAATGCTCATAATCCCACTGGGACCAGTGGGAAAAAAGTCCCCTCTCTGAGATCTTGCATCCTTTGATACCATCGTGATACAGTGCTATCGCTACGCATGCTATCGCTTGTTCCAGTTTCTCCTGGAACAAACCCCAACGTCCTGTATACATGTAATCCATTAGCTCCAGGGCGTTGTAAAGGTGTTGGGGTGGGGAGGCTGTATACAGTAGTGGCTTTCATCACGAGGACACAACCGAGGGATCTTTGCGCCGTGAGAAAAGCTGGAATATCATGGGACCTGAAAGTATTCCATTGAATCCATTCCCTGTTCTAATAAAGTTGAAATGGCAATTTCGAAGTTGTTCTGTGTTTACTATTTGAGCATGTGAAGAGTTAATGTGGCATGGGAACTTACTTCAATACTTTTACATGACTGTACGGGAAAGTGCTAAAGGTTTTAGTAATGTTGGCTCCAGCGATTCATGCTCGGATAGGCAGCTGTCCGTACAGTCTTCGTCGCGTCGCGGTTCGGTCCCGGTTCCCACTGCAATTTCCTCCTGATCACGTGATTTACTAGCTGTAGCTCTGCTGGCGTGCTGCTAGTAACCAGTTACCTGGTAACACGCTGCATTATTTGTAGTTCCCGTATGTCAAGTGATTGTCGCCTTGGAGTTGACCAATGGCAGATCAAACAGCGCGGGATAGAAAGCGTGGTCCTGCCTGCTCAAAGCCACACAAAGGTGATGGAACTGGATCCACTGCCCGTCGTCAAGTGACGACGGGCAGGAACAGATTCCACTGGCTGTCGTCAAGTGACGACGGGCAGGAACGGATTCCACTGGCCGTCGTCAAGTGACGACGGGCAGGAATGGATTCCACTGGCCGTCGTCACTTGACGACGGGCAGGATCTAGGAACGGATTCCGCTAGTATTATTTTAAGTGGGTATTATACTATAGTCACTGCACTGCCCGTCGTCATTTGACGACGGGCAGTAGGCACTGGACTGACTCTCTACATCACGGTCTTTCATTGGTTACTTGCCGCATGTTTCATAAAATACACGTTCCAGTCACTCATACTCGGCCACTACCGGCGCCCGGTATTCATGGTATACGGATTACCGCCGTTAGTATCCAGCATGCAGCGCCAGCCCTTGCCGCTATCGCGGCGCGGGCTGTATTCCGCGGTACTGCCCGCGACGTACACTACTCGTGCATGAACCTGTGTGGCTGTAGATCTACATCTCCTTTTTTTTGTCGTGAGTCAAATGACTGAATCATTGAATGCCGGCAAATCCCGAGTCTTTCGCAGAGATGTCTAGTCTACAGTCAGAGTACAGTCATGAACACTACATAGTCATTGTAGGAAAATACATTGTATGTAGATGATTGTACTGATTCAAACGGTTGCAATGATTGTTCCACTTCCAGTTCCTAAGTAATTAGTTTCAAGAGGTTAGTGGCTTTGTTACTCACATCATGATGGCGCTATCGCCGTTCAGCCTAGCGCTGGGCATACTACATGTGCTTATAATAAGCTGCTGGCATACAGCCCAGGTGGACGGAGTAAAGTCTGCGGCCACTATCGACGAGCAGATATTCAGTGCGTCCGCGGGCAGGCCAAATTTCATTCTCATCCAAACTGATGATGAGGCAAGATGGGATATGATTGCAATGAACAAGACTGCTCGCTTGCTCCGCGACCAAGGAGCTACGCTCAATAACTACATGGTCAACACGCCCGTTTGCTGTCCCTCCAGGACGGAGATCTTCTCCGGAAGGTACTACCACAACATAGGCGCACCTAACGGTTCTTGCATGCACGTCAACTCCAAGCAGTGGGTGTTCGATGACACAAGTCTCTTCTCCACACTGCAGTCGAATGGCTATTTGACGGGAGTTTTCGGAAAGGTTACGAATGATCAGGGTGGGTATTTCTGTAAGGAGAAGATGGACGCCGGAATGACGATGATCAGCTCGCCTTGTGACTACAATAGCTTCTACTCGAGCCAGTATTTCGTCAAATTAGCAAATGGGACGAAATATGTGGAAAAGTTGAACCCCAAGTTGCCAACAACTTACCAAACATCACAGCTCGGGAATCGCTCTATTTCCTGGATCAAAGACATAGTGAAGACAGATCCAGGAAAGCCATTCCTTGCATACATTGGACCACATGCTCCTCACTATCCTGCCAGTCCAGCCCCGTGGTACCAGGGCAACAATATCTTTGAAAACATCAAAGCGCCTCGGACACCTAATTGGAACGTATCATGCCCAGATAAACACCCAGCAATTTCCTCGAATCCGCCTCTTAATGCAGAGGCCACCCTATATCTCGATCACAACAATCAAGTTCGTCTGCTTAGTCTTCTCTCCGTGGATGATATCATTGATGCAGTGTACAGCACGCTAAAGGACTTGGACCTTCTTCAAAACACGTACATCATCTTTACAAGCGACCACGGATACCACTTAGGCCAGTGGCGGGTGCCCAGCAGCAAACTATTGCCGTACGATACCGACATCTTCGTGTCAACGTTCATTCGCGGACCTGGCATTGAAGCCGGCTCCAAGGTGGATGCGGTGGTGGGCAATGTGGACATTGCGCCAACCATTCTAGACCTGGCCGGCATTGCAGTACCCAAGGGCATGGATGGCAAGAGCATGGCTGGACACCTCCTGGCTCAGCATGGCACCGGCGCAGAACTGCCCAAAACCGAGTGGAGAGAAGCGTTCCTTATAGAGTTCAAGTCGGCCGGTCGCCTAGATAACAGCCACACGGTGGAGTGGTGGCCTGGCGAGGACTTCATTGGAGTTTTGAGAAAGTCGCCGGCCGCACCGTGTAAGAACTGTGCGCACTGGTGGATAGATGGTCCCAGCAATACGTACCGTGCACTGCGCCTGATCAACGCCACTCATAACATCATGTATGCTGAATTCAATGCTGACTGGCAGTTCGACAACCAAACAGCCGTCTTCCACGAATATTACGACATTACTGAAGACCCATACCAGATGAAAAACACATACAGCAAGATATCATCTTCCTTGCAGATGTCTCTTCATGAACAGCTGCACACGTATGCAATGTGCGCCGGGGGACAAGAAAACGGAAATTGTCCTTAGGCATTCTAAAACAAGAATATAATAGTGAAGAGAGAGCCAGAGAGAGAGAGAGAGAGAGAGAGAGAGAGAGAGAGAGAGAGAGAGAGAGAGAGAGAGAGAGAGAGAGAGAGAGAGAGAGAGAGAGAGAGAGAGAGAGAGAGAGAGAGAGAGAGAGAGAGAGAGAGAGAGAGAGAGAGAGAGTGTGTGTCCCATAATTATGGTGCAATGGTATTTGCAGCGATTTCCAATCGAGAGGTTGCGGGTCCGATACCCAACGATTATGGACACACACGTCTTTCTTTTCTTTCTCACACTCCTGACTTTTATTTCATTCTGCTGGGTAGTTACCAACAGCCAGCGCATGTCGGAGTATGTGGTGTGATGTGTGTGTGGGAAAAAATGAAAAAGACCAAAAAGTAGGGATTCACTGGCCAGCAAAAGCCACTTCATAGCTGTGTGGTGTAGACCAGGCTGAATAATGGCGGTCAATTCTTCAGCCTTGCAAGGTGTTGAATGGCGCAACCCTAGCACAAGTTGCTATGGTTTCTGCCGTAGCATCGCTATCATCACCTCCGGCGATGGGCGTCAAAAGGTCAAGGTGTGTATGTGTCCTTGCTAAGGTGTGGTGAGCCCATAAGTGAAATCATTTCCAAGTTCATCCAGACCTCGGGGATTTCGGGGGTCCGTTGTGTGGTTCAATAGCCAATTGAGTCACCTTTCCAGGAATCCTTTTGAATCTCTCTCCTACCCACGTGACCGGCTTTGGCGGTGAACAAGTACAAGTAAAAGTGGGTGTGTTTTTGAAGTTGGACTAGGTTTGGCAATGCAGTGTGTCGTTACTGTTCTAGCTTTCATAGCTGAGGTTGTTGGTATGTCGATTGGCTCTGGGTTCCCAGTACTCAGTTGCGGAGGCTGCGCGGGTTGGTAAAGTAACTGCAAGTTCATTCCAAGGTGCCAGTGCATCTAGTATCTGCTTCATCTAGTGTCTGCTTCATCTAGTGTCTGCTTCATCTAGTGTCTGCTTCATCTAGCGTCTGCTTCTTTGAGAGCCGCATACTGTCTATACTGGCTACACTAGGAAACGTAGGGTGTGCATAGGTAACTGTCCAAAGACCTACACTGCAAATCGTATCCAGTTCCATTAATAAAATTAATATTTTTTTAAACACAGTTGTACAGCCATTGTCGTAAATGAAAAAGAAACAAAACTTTATACAGTGGCACCTACTAAGGAACAGCAATACAGTACAGCAAGCTGGATAGAGGACTCAGTTATGAGGACTTTCTCACTATGCTCACAAGCTACAGACCATGGATGTCCAGCAAAATAAGTTAATAAAGGAAGACACATGCATACTGACTGCACAAGGAAGAAGAAAACAAAGAGAGCAATGTAACTCAATTCAAGGCGAATCATCAGCAGTCCAAAATGCACTGATATGCACTCCTGACACTAGTATGGACCACAGAGGTATAGGACTATGGGCAGTTGCCATTGGCTTGGCCACCAGTGCAGGATGCATAGGCCTGGAGCTGGTCGTGGAGAGCTTTCTGCAGATCAGGAGCTGCCTTGCTGTAAATGTTTTTCATCTGATAGGGGTCTTCGGTCACGTCATAATACTCGTGGAAGACGGCCGTCTTGTTGTCGAAAGTCCAGTCTGGGTTGAACTCTGCGTAGAGGAAGTTGTGGGTGGCATTCATTAGGCGTAGGCCACGGTATGTATTGCTGGGTCCGTCAAGCCACCAATGTGGGCAGGTTGCGCAGGGAGCACCCGGTGGACTGCGATGCACTCCGTGGAAATCACCGTCTGCGGTCGGCCACCACATCGTCGCATGCTTGTTATCGTACTTTCCCACGGACTTGTACTCAATGAGGTAGCCATCGCGCCACTTCTCTGCAGCTTCTTTTGCTTGGTCACTTGCCTTGAGCAAGCCAGCCATGCTCTTGCCATCCATGCCCTTAGGTACTTGTATTCCTGCCAGGTCGATGATGGTTGGCGCAATGTCCACGTTTCCCACCATGGCATCCACCTTGGACCCGGCCGCAATGCCCGGCCCGCGGATGAAGGTCGGAACAAAGATATCGGTATCGTACGGCTGCTGTTTGCTGCTGGGCACCCGCCATTGGCCTAAATGGTATCCGTGATCGCTTGTAAAGATGATGTACGTGTTTTCAAGAAGGTCCAGGTCCTGTAGCGTGTTGTACACTGCCTCAATGACGTCATCCACGGAGAGAAGGCTAAGGAGGCGAATTTGATATTGGTGATCTAGAGCAATGGTGGCGTTGTCGTCGAGGGGTGGATTGTCTGCGATCATCTCGTGCTTGTCCGGGCAAGATTCGTTCCAGTTTGGTGTCCGAGGCGCTTTGATATCGGCGAAGATGTTGTCCAGCTGCCATGGGGCTGGGTCAGCAGGATAGTGAGGAGCATGTGGTCCAATGTACGCCAGAAATGGCTTTCCTGGATCTGTCTTCACTATGTCTTTGATCCAGGAAATAGAGCGATTCCCGAGCTGTGATGTTTGGTAAGTTGTAGGCAACTTGGGGTTCAACTTTTCCACATATTTCGTCCCATTTGCTAATTTGACGAAATACTGGCTCGAGTAGAAGCTATTGTAGTCACAAGGCGAGCTGATCATCGTCATTCCAGCATTCATCATCTCCTTACAGAAATACCCACCCTGATCATTCGTAACCTTTCCGAAAACTCCCGTCAAATAGCCATTCGACTGCAGTGTGGAGAAGAGACTCGTCTCATCGAACACCCACTGCTTGGAGTTGACGTGCATGCAAGAACCGCTTGGTGCGCCCACGTTGTGGTAGTACCTTCCGGAGAAGATCTCCGTCCTGGAGGGACAGCAAATGGGCGTATTGACCATGTAGTTGCTGAAGGTTGCCCCCTGATCGCCAAGCAAGCGAGCAGTCTTGTTCATCGCAATCATGTCCCATTTGGCCTGGTCGTCGGTTTGAATGAACACGAAGTTCGGCTTGCCAGCGTTTGGTGTCGACTTCCCAAAGATTTTGCCTTGTGCGCGGTATGTGTTCTCATGACGTCCCTCTGCCGCTGCTACTGCTCCCAGTCCAGCCAACAGAATGCAAAGAAAGACCTTTGCCATTTTGTTTGTGCTGCCAATTCTGCCTCAGACTGGGGTGATAAGGTAACAGGTAGGTAGACCGGCTGTACAGTAACACTGTCTGCAGTAGCTCCTCTTGGCACCCTGCCCCTGATTGTGTAACAGTATTGCTTCTCCGAGCGTCAGCACTCGTGTGTAGCTAATGCGAGCTCAATGATGCCTGCCCATTCAGTAATGCCTAAGACATGGTGCCAAAAAGCGCAATGCATCTTGCTGCGAATGAAATAATACCGAAGATGATGTGCTCTCACGGATCGGAGTGTACCATGGGCATGGTACCGCCTTTGTTCAGACATCACGTGGATTTGGTGATGAAGTCACATGAGCGTTCTACCTTATCACAAGTTATCAGTGCATTGTAGATCTACCACTATCGTGACCATGGTGACAGGCTTCACTCAGTTCTGTGTATACAGTATAGTGTACTAATATCGACTGTCAGTAGATCTACTACCAAGACAAGAATACAGTCATGCAAGTACATGTACAAGTGAACCTGGGGCCATGCTAGCTCTAGTCTAGATCGTCATTGTAGATCTACATCTTCACAATGTAGTATCGTGAGTGAATGATTAGTGAGTAGATCTATGTACATGTAGGTAGCCAGTGCAGGCTAAATTTTATTTTTCAAGGAAACCCTTCGAAAATGGTACCAATCGATTCAGCATGGCATTTTCATTCCTCCTGCAAAGTTTCAGCTGATTTGGAGTCATGACAAGGACGCTATGGCGATTTGAAGATCGAAAAACTTCAGTTTTGTTTGTCAAGAAGAAAGGCCATGATCGCACACAAATCATACAACCCGTGTGGCACAATGAATTTTGAACGAAGTTGATCCGCGGACCCCGTGCTTCGCGCATGCACGCATGCATACTGCACAGTACAGAGGCTTTTTTTGAACGCAGATATGCAGTTCTTCGTCTTCTTCGAAATGTCTTCCAAATGCGTGGTGCTGGTGTTGTTCTCTTCGTCAAGGCAGAATGCAGCTGCATGTGATGCTCCTGTGTGTTCATGCATGTTCTCTTTTCGCGTCTCGACATTGTAGCGTCCAGACTCAGCTCGACTGGAGAAGATTGAGTAGACTATGCTTTGATCCACATGGAAAATCGATGAAATTTGGTAATTATCGTCGGGCGCTAAAAAGCGCTGGGGAGCATGGGGCTGAAACTTCGTAGCAGTCATCCCTACCATGACAGGCATCGACTGGTATATGTTCCATTCTGTTCCCAACCACCACGGGTCGTCTGCGAAGCTTTCTTCTTCGCCGATTCTCGGACAGATCGTACGTCTTCGCACTGTATCTCTCGTCTCCCTCAACGGATCAAAACATGGTTTTCGCCAGGACGAACACAAACCCCCAGATTTCGCGGCGGCAACATCTTCGAGTAGGGAAAAGCTAGCAGCTAACCAGGAATCCCCAAAAAGCACGTGTAATACTCAGTGTGATTTGCGACAGCTGTCATTGTGCCGTCGCACCATGCATGTAGAGGAGACGGCTCGATACCGGGACGTTTTGACAGCCAAATTTGTATAGACCCAAACCGATTATCAACGTTGATTTTTCACTCGAAATATGTTTGTGGAAGGAAACTGGCATGTTGAAGTTTGCTCTGGGGCCAGAGTCAATCGAACTGAGCCACTCCTTTGTGTTGACCCATTGCCTCCAAGTTGCCCAATTTTTCGCTTCAAAAAAGTTCAAATCAGAGGTGGCTCCAAACCGGACACGTTTTAGAGTGCACGTCAAATTCACTCTGGGTCTGAAATTAGGTAATTGCTATCGCTCCACGACGGCCAGTACAGAGTAACAATAAGCCTTGTGTGTGCTTCCATTAGTTTTGATTGGTATGCGGTGCTTTATTGGCGAGAGGCGAGCCGCTGTTTACCTGCGACAAGAAGTTGATTTTTCGAAAGTCGTAAAACTCAAGTCGCAGTGCGAAGCAACACGTCAAAAACTCGCCTGCTTGATATGGCGCTTCTGGTCATCGCAGAGCCATGAAATTTTGGCTCGGAGTATAACACATAGTAGTCTCACTGTGACATATGTTTTCTAATCAAAATACCAAGAGAGAAAGTGAATATTGAGTCCGTTCCGGTTTGCAACCGGTGTCCTATTTGAAACCGTCCCCTCTACCATGCACGGGAATAGAACACGGATGAGTCGTTTTATTACGACAGCCTGCACTGGCTAATGTAGGGACCGGCTAAACAGAACTGTCATCATCAGTAGACCTGGTAGACCTACGGTGTAGATCTACCGAGGATAGATCGCTGTCATTCGACGTTCGAAGGGTCCAGGTAAGTAACTGTTTATTGGTTTGCAATATCGGCTTTTTCCTATCTCATTGCTTGATCTACAGTCATGTACGAGTAGTTCATAGTAGGGCTGGATGTTAATAGGTCTTGCTCCGTTCTCCAAAATTCGCGGAAGTCAATAATTATTACTATCAACGGACCGGACTGGGCAGTTTAGCGGAATCCAGCATGGCCAATGAAATTATTTGCCAAGGAAGATCCTGGACCACGTTCAGAGACATCGGTCGAGAAATTTGGCTGCTCGCGATCTGTTTATGTGCACTGTTTGTGGTAGGACCAGCAGCAGGATCATCCAGGTCGCCATTGAGACCAAGGCCTAAGTAGTAAGTGCGGGGCGGGTTCTGGCCCACTTTTTGACCTTTGACCTTTGGGCCAAATAAGGCACACTGTGTCGGTCGTGCTTGGTCTGGCCCCGGGACTCCCCCAGGGTTTGACCTTTGACCTTTGGGTTGAATAAGGCACACTGTATCGGGCGCGCTTGGTCTGGCCTCGGGACCCCCTAGGGTTTGACCTTTGGCCCTGCCATGTCATAAATGTCATCATGTTCTTTTCCGTGGCGACCGTGCACTTGTGCACGTTCGGTGCATTCATTGCACCGGGGAGTAGTAAAATACGTACTACTCCCTGATTTGCACATCGTAGATGTGCAGTGAATGACATATTGCGCATGCGCGCATAAGCACGCGGAGCGTGCGACCTTCAGTGGCCCTGCGGAAAAGACGCAGTGCAACACAAGGTGGACTAGTAGACCCAGGTGCTCGAAGTCCGTACAATTTTACAGTGTGTGTTTGCCGAGCTGAAACTCACACTAGCAATGATCACTTGCCAGAATCCTGCTCGTGGATGGAAGGTATCTTGTCCAAGTTTGTTCTGAGGCCAGGCTCGATTGAACCAGGCCATCTTTCGATCCGATCTGTTTCTCTGGAGTTCGCTCATTTTTCATATCAAATTTTGGTGTCGCAGAGGGTACTCTAAGTCCGTACTGATCAGAGGTGACTCGAAATACACACAAATTTCTGCTAATTGCTAACTTGCAATCCCTCGGTTACGACGAAAGCACCGAAGGGATATGTGTGGCATGTGCCTCCACCAGTATTTCTTGCAAAAGCGTAGTTTGTTGCCGAAATGCAAGCTGTTTTTAGTCGGCTCAGAGAAGAAGCAGCTGCGCTGTGAAAACCGCGGGAAACAGTGGTGGAGATGCCAGGAGTGTCAACCTTTCTGCAAGGATTGGTGGTTCTCTGTAAATTCTTCTCCTCTGGCCATTGTCAGCTCTAAGCTGGCTCTTGATGATTGAGTGAAGGTCTGTTTGACGCTGTGTCCGTTCGAAATCGGTCTTGGCAAAGTTGATTTTTGCATGAAATGTAACCCAATTTGTATTTCGTATGGACACTCGAAAACCCACTCCCGTGGTATGGGACTTCTGCTTATCGTAGATCCCTGAAAATTGGTACGCGAGGAGAACATACCACACTGTCCCCTCCATAAAATATTTGAGTCGAATACAATAACAGAACATGAAATTATGGGCGTACGAACTTAGGATACCATGTACGGACTTCGAGCACCTGGGTCTACACGTGTCATTATACTAATCCCTGATTCGCACTTCGTAGATGTGCAGCAACAAGTTCACTTTCCTTGCATTCGTTTTATTCGCACATCGTAGATGTGCAGTGACAAGTTGCCCTTACTTAGCGTGCGACTTTCAGTCCCTGACCCTGCATGCACTATCCATGCATTATAATGCTGGTGTTGTTGTTGGTTGTTGTTGGTTGTTGTTGGTTGTTGTTGTTGGTTGTTGTTGGTTGTTGTTGGTTGTTGTTGGTTGTTGTTGGTTGTTGTTGGTTGTTGTTGGTTGTTGTTGGTTGTTGTTGGTTGTTGTTGGTTGTTGTTGGTTGTTGTTGGTTGTTGTTGGTTGTTGTTGGTTGTTGTTGGTTGTTGTTGGCTGTTGTTGGTTGTTGTTGGTTGTTGTTGTCGGATGTTGTCGGTTGTTGTCGGTTGTTGTTGGTTGTTGTTGTCGGTTGTTGTCGTTATTGTGTATTGTGTTTTAATCGTTATTTTGTTCATTATCCAGGAGGATTTTGCTATGATCCAGTACCATTTTTTCGCATATATGACACAAGTGTGTGTAACCTTAGTGTGACGTGGGGTATGCTGATTGGATGTGAGGTGACGAGAGTATGCTGATTGGTCGATAACAATTAGTGGAAGGGATAAAGTAATGCGTCAGGATCATTACAGTTGCATTTGGCACCATGGAGTTTCAGGAGGAAGTTGAATTTTGTGATGGGTGTAACCATGAAGAAATAGAAACGGAAGAAGCTGTCGTTTGCATGAAATGTGGTCTAGTCTTGGGCTCTTTGTTTGCGCCAGAGGCAAATGTAGCAGAGCGTGTAATGCTGCCCAGTAAGCCTTACACAGATGTGCAGCGACTGGAATCAGTGGATAAAAGTCTGGGGGCTTTTATCGAGAAGGTGGGAGTGTGTAAGCCGCTATACCCATCGCTTTTTGAAACTCGGCAACGCCTCTACGCTATGAAGAAGGGCAGTGAGTATAGAGCGCTGAATTATGCCATCGCCCTGTCATGCATTTACTATGAAGATGAAGAGATGGTGCAGATACTCAGTCTTCATCTCCCCAGAAGCAAAGATGCATGGATGAGAAATGCTTCCCTATTCAAGACTTCCCCAGTGTTCTTCAAAATGTGGATGAAGGTCATAACCCCAAAGAAACTACGTAAGGCTCACTTTGAACGGTTTATTGAGAGGACGGTGGATATGACAGAGCAAGAAGAACAGCTAATGATTGAACTCATCCAACATTATGGAGTTGAACCGAAGCTACCACTTGCTGCCTCACTGGCTTATGATGACTATCCAGATGCATTGATCTATATACTATCCACCATTGTGCAGGCATTCTAAACTGATTTAAGGTGCACGTGTCATCACTTGCTTGGAGAATATTGTTCTTTATGAATCATACAGTCAATTTCAACCGTAATCAAACCATCCATTGCATGAATTCGTTGAATTGAAAAGAAAGGAAACATTTCTATAATCTCACTCTGGTTTTTCGTATTATGGAAAAAGTATTGGAAGACTCTTTGCACTGTGGCCCCGAGGACCTCTGGGCCCCGGCGGTCCCACGTCACCCTGAGGGCCTGGCGATCCTTCAGGTCCTTGGGGCCCTATGTTTCCTGGGGGTCCTTGCGGCCCTGTAGCACCTATGTGTCCTGATGGCCCTTGGGGTCCTTGCAGTCCTGTGTGGCCCCTTAAACCTTGCAATCCAGATTCCCCAGTCGGACCAGGACTTCCTTTTGGTCCAGGAACCCCTGGTCTTCCTCGATGTCCTTTAAGTGATCCGAATGCAGTCCAACCCGCAATGAGTTTTTTATATACAACGAGGGTGGTAGCATCCAAATAGAAGTCACCCTGTCTGCCGATGGGTGGCGACGGAGGGTCTGCTCCGCTATACCAACCAAATCCTGGATCACCTTTAGGACCTTTCATTTTGCGGATTTGGGCTAATTCCTTCTTCACCCACCCAGCAGGTACAGCACAGGTGTCCGACACACCGTCGTAATCCAGCCAGCATAAACGTTTGCCATTCATGTGCAGATTTCCTCTCATCCTCACGCTGCCATCCGTTTTCAAATGGGTTTCGTCATCTATCACCGTTGACTCCGCGAATTCTTTGATTCGACCCTCCATGATCTCAGCATCTGTTTTATTCAACTTGCTGTTCTGTAGTGCCCCGACATTGTACATCAGGGTGTTTTTGGTGTTATCGTTACCCACCAGAGTTTTGAGTTGCGCAATATCATCCTTCAAGGTTCTTATTGTTCGGCTGGAGGTTTCCTCAGACGGGCTCTTGTGGAAATGCATGCTCCAAAACGCCATCCTTGTTATTATGGGGAAATATTTCCCCTGTACAGTAGGTATGGCGGTGGTACTGTCTGCAGTAAACAACGCTTCTGCCGTTATAGCCGGTGCGTTCACGCCTCATTTTACACTGCGTATCAGGTCTTTGAATACCATAGGGAAACACATCAGTTTGGACACTGCCCAGTTCGAACTTCATTCTGAAAACGTTGATACGGAGAGTAACAAATTGTACGTGGAGACGCAAGAAGGGGAAGTTCAACTCTCCATCCTAACAGGAACTCACACGGATATTGCAGATCTCATTACAGTCATTAACGAGGCACTGAAAAGTGCAAATCACCCAGATATTGTGTTTTCCTATTCCCGCTATACAAGCCGAGCGAGCATCAGCGTACCTGTCGGGAAAAAAATTATCCTGAAACCCGACTCCCCCAGTGTCGTTCTGGGCTTGGGATCGATTGCAGAATCCGTGACCATACAACCTGGTCTTTTCACATTACCGTATGCAGTTGATCTGACTAGAGGGAGAAGGTTTGTGTTGTTGTATACAGACCTGATCGCCCAGGCCGTGGAATATGAAGACAATCAGGACTCGAGGATTTTGAAGACGTTCCCCATTCAAACTCACAACGGTATCAACAATTACATATTTGGAGAGAGAGACAAACGCGCTCTACTTCCGCACTCAAGCGTTACGGAAATATCATTTTGGCTGAAGTACAACACTGGAGAGTTTATCACCACGGGGTACCCGGCGTTATTGGATCTGAGAATCGAGTAAATTTTTCCACGTACAAGTAAGAATGGCGCAGCACGTCGTGGCCACTCAGATCCCAGACCCCTTTAAGGGGCTGCTGTCGAAAACTAAAGTGGTGCAGAATAGCATCCTAGAGCGAACCGAAAAGAAGATATCACTCCTAGAGGGGAGAAACTTTGTAAGACTGTATTCTCGAAATGGTTCACCACCCTCTCTGAACAGCGAATTGGATATATCATCACCAAATTTCATTGCCTTGAGTGAAAGTTACTTTATCGTCAAACTCCGGTATGAAGTTAGTGATAGTCGGGCTAATGGAGCCAGATCATATCCACACTGGGTGTGTACCACCTCCCCTGCATTTTCATGGTTCAAGAATATCCGCGTGGAACTAAATGGCACGGAGGTGACGCAATCTAGCAAGGTGCAAGATATGCAGAGTGTGCAACACATTCTTAGCCTTATGGAGAGTGACGTGGCTAAACTCCAATATTCCGATTCTGATCTGTACGGACTTCAGAAACTCGACCCCCAGAAGTGTGTTAAAGATATACCTCTAGGGAATTATCGGTATGGTGTAAAACGCTCGCACGCCTATGCGTTTGCAACAAACACAGATGGCGAAGATGATTTCGATGGTACGACACTGAAAAGACGGCCCACTGTCCACCT